TCGACTTATTGTGGACAGTAGGCGAGTTGAATGAATAATTTCATTTGCATGATGTTTGTTGATTTGCTAGTGTTCTGCAGTGATGATTGATAATTTTTGATGTTATGGAATATTAAACTTTCGCTGTATTTTATTTCAATGTGTAAGCAGAGGGCAAAATTGTGGTTTGTTCCGCATGGCATTGCGGAACAAATGAAACTCACTTGTGAAAGTTTGGAACTTACTGCAATTGAGATTTGATAAATTGAGAGAAAATGACGAGTCTTGCTAGATTTATATAATGTGTTTGTGAGCGATTTCAGAGATTATTGTTGAATTGCTGTTGGTATTGGTTATTAATGGAAAATTTTGAAATTACACTATAAATGCAAAAACATTTTACAATTTAGATCGTCAGCAATGGAATTGGTGAAGTCGAGAAGTTTCGATTTGGCTGAGTTGGCAACAACTTTACTTGGATTCAATGGCACTGCAGCAGAGCTTTCCATCGAAGGCGCTGAGTCGTTCTCGTGAGTTTTCGATTCGATGAAGTTTGGAGTGATTTCGTGAATTTGAGTTGATTTGGGCGGATTTCTTCTTCTTTTATGAGGAGTTTACATGGGTTTTCAGTAGAAAAATGTGTTTAGTATTGAAGAATCATGTGTATAATCAAAAACTGGGTAGCAATCAAATGAAATTCAGGAATTCTCGTCAATTGATCGAAGCAATAAATCGTTCGTGGTTGAATATTTGGCTGACAGTCTCTATTATCGTTGAGTTGAATGCTTTGCCGTTATTTGTGCAAATTACGCAAACTGTTGGCGGTGTATTGGTATGCATTTCGTTTGTATTTTGTTGATTATGAGTTATTTTCTTGTCAATTCCTTTTTTGAATTGTACAACTTGGTTTTGAAAAATTTAATAATCTCGCTACTTACTGTATTTTTCATTAATCATTTGCTATTCTATTTATTTACTAGGTATAATGCAGCATTACTTTGTGTGTTTCATTTAATGGCAGATGAAGTTGTGTTCTCATTTTTAGTCTCGAACACTGATGGGTGGACGTGCGGAACGAAATGAATTCCTTTTATTGCACGCATTTCACAAGGCTGGTTATGTGGCACCGAATAAGTTCCAATATGAATACCATCATCATAATCAGAAGAACAAGAAGAAAGATACTGAGAATATAGAGATGAATGAAGACGAAACTGAAGAGAAAGGAGACGAGAAAACTAGTAAAAAGGCACAGTACACTGGAGGACTTGTACTAGAGCCCAAGAAAGGTTTTTCATTTAGATTTGTTTTGGTTTTAAATGATTTAGGATGGTTTGTGGTAGCGTTTCGAAGAGATTCGTGTTTTGAAAATGTTAGCATGCGATGGAGATGCTGAATTGTAATGTATGAGATGTATGACATAGGAAAGTTTGAGATGGTTTATCAGTAACCTGCGATATCTGATGTGGTTGAGGTCTCAAGATGTGTAAATGCAAAAGTTTGTCTTGATTTCAGGTCTGTATGATAAATATATACTCCTACTGGATTTCAACAGTCTGTATCCGAGTATCATTCAAGAGTACAACATTTGCTTTACAACAGTGGATCAGTCGAAAAAGGTTCGTTTGTTTGTTTGTTTGTGATTATTATAAGTTTGTGTTTGTATATTTTTAATTCAGTTACTTAAGCGTAAGAATTTTTGTGTTGAAGTGTACGAAAATAAAATCATTGTGAAAATTGTGTAATTGTAATTTGGAGGATGATTCGGAGCTACCGGCACTACCGGATGATTCTGAAGAGGGAATTTTGCCGAGGGAGATTCGTGTTCTCGTCGAAAGACGTCGTGCGGTCAAGAATCTGATGAAATCTGAAAAACTGAGCGATCATCTAAGACAACAGGTAAGATAAGGTCAAAGTGAAGAAAATTTCGAAGAGAATAGAAGTGAAATCTCTTTCCGAGGTTGAATTTGTTCTGAATGTAACATTTGTTAAATAGATAATTCAATTGTGAAGTTCATTTTGAAATAAATTATCAATTTAGTACAATATTCGGCAAATGGCGTTGAAATTGACAGCGAATAGTATGTACGGATGTCTTGGCTTTACGTATTCACGTTTCTATGCAAAACCTTTGGCGGCATTAATCACTTCACGAGGCAGAGATGTGAGTTGTCAATCGTTTGGTATTGTGTCAATTTTGTAATTATAATATCTTAATAAGTATTATTTATAAATGAACTGATCGGCATTCATTACTGTTTCAGATTCTAATGCATACCAAGGATTTGGTCGAGAAAGATGGTTATTCGGTTATTTACGGTGACACGGATTCGATTATGATTAATACGGGATTGGACAATTTGGAAGAGGCGAAGAAATTGGGCAATAAGGTTTAAAAACTTACGTTTATCAGTGGGAAAGCAAATCATGTGTTTGATCAGTGATAAGATTAGATCAGGGGAGTAATATGTTAATTGTTGAACAAGTTGTTTGAGATGCGATTGAGATGCAGAAGCGATGAATGACTTTTATTGAATTACAGTTGAAACGAATGGTCAACAAATGCCATACAAAACTGGAACTAGACATTGATGGTCTCTATCGGAAGTTGTTGCTGCTGAAAAAGAAGAAATACGCTGGATTGGCAGTGGATTTGAATAATTGCGATAAGATGAAGAAGGAAATGAAGGGGTTGGATATTGTGAGACGTGATTGGTCGCTGCTTGCGAAAGACATTGGAAAGTTCGTGTGATTTTCTTAATGTTGTTGACTGATTTGTTCAATTGGACATTCGTATTTGATGATAAATTTATTGAGGTGTATTGATAGTGAATGAGGTAATAAGGCAGAAATTTTAATTAGGAGGTGATTCGCTAGCACTTGAGAAACTTTGGTAATTCATACTTAATGTGAGAAGAGATGGGGATAGATCTTCGTGAATCATATTGATTAAGCTGCTGTTGATCAGTTTTTTAAAATATCTAATGTTGATTAGGATTCTTCGGTTATTTGATTCAGGTTTTGTAGTAATATAAAGATCAGAAAATTGGTGAATTGTTAGTGGAAATGGATCAGTTTCTTTCGTTTTCAGTGAAATAGTAGAGATGATATTATCGATGTCGTTGAAGCGTGAGGAGTTGGACACGTCCATATATGACCGATTGCGTTTCTTGCGGAAGGAATTGGATGACGATGCGATCGATATTGAGAAATTTGAAATATTTAAAGTGAGTTGAAAGAAACTGACAATCGCCTGCACAACATTCAGGCTATTTCTTATTGTCAAGTGTACCGTTCAATAGAAGTTTTTTTATTGTTTCATGAAGAATAACGCATCATTCAATGCGTTATTTATTGTTTTAGATTGTACTATGACATGTCAGATCTCTGCATGTAAATATTGATATGCATTACTATTCTATGGCATATGTGAACAATTCAGAGCTGAAAGTACCTCGAGATTCGATTTAGAGAATTAAGGAGAGTTTTAGCTAAAAGTCTCTACCGGAACTCTCTACCAGTCTAGATTGGTCATTTAGGTGTTTGTTCATTTGATCATTCAGTGTATTGGAATGAACGGATCTTGTCGGATTTGAGATTTGAGATTCAACAAATATCATCTTAAACGGACGGATTTCAGCAGCTCACCCGTGATCCAAAGGAATACGCTGATATCAAGTCTCAACCACATGCGGCTGTTGCGCAGAGACTGAACGAGAGTGGCAAATTTCATTTTCATAAAGGCGATACCGTGAATTATATCATTTGTGAGGTGAGTTTTTGAGTGATTCGATGAGATATGTTTGCTTTTTGCTGGTTTCACTTTTTTCGTTCGTTTCGCGATTGGTTTTATCGTGATGGAATGAATACTTTGTTAAATGAATTTTGTTTCGTTAGATTATTCAGATTAGAAATTTGAAACCTTTCATTTATGGATAAGTTTAGTTTTTGTGTTAATGCTGAGTTTCGAAAGTAAGAGAAATGCTCGTATTGGTTTTTCAAATTGTGTCTCTCCATTATTGTTTAGCGAATCCATTTTTCACTGTTCGTTTGTGTTTATAACGTTTATCCACAAATATCAATTCATAGGATGGAACGCAGAGTTCGTCCACACAACGTGCTTATCATCGTAGTGAAATCGCATCGAATAAAAATCTACATATTGGTGAGTTATTTGAATTGAGATCAGAAATCTGTTAATTCATTTTCATTTTTAGAAAGTTTTTTTATTTTTATTTCAATTTTATCGTTGATTTCATTGTTGGGAATGAAAAAAACGAGATTTCAAACATGAAGTATACAAAGGCATGGGTTCAGAAATTCGGTGAATTTGAAATGAAATTAGGAGAAATCTGAGAGAAAAAATTCCTTCTCTTTTTGCAGATATTCATTACTATTTGGCCCATCAAATACATCCGGTGGTGTGTCGTTTGTGTGAGCCAATCGAAGAAATCGATGCAGTGGGCGTTGCGAACGCACTTGGTTACTTGCTTATTCGTTTGTTTGTGAATTCATTCTCTAAGTTCCAAATGAACCTTTATATTAGAAAGTTCGAGCAATCCTCAAAAGTGCTCAAAATTGCATTACATTTTTTGAAATTTTTGTTTTACATCAAATTCTACAGCAGGGTCGGAAAGAAGAGAGTTGAAGTGAATTCGTCGGAATTACGGTTTTGAAGACAGGGAAAGAATGTAAACTATTCGTTCTGATCTTAGGAATCGACTCGTCTGGATATCGCATTCGTGCAAAAGCAGCGGATAGTCAGGGCGATGAGCAAGGCGATGAAACGACCTTCGAATGGAAGCACGACTTCTCGCAGTGTCAACCGTTCAAATTCAAATGTCCGCATGCAGAATGCCGGAAAGAAATTGAGATTACGAAAGCAATTGAAGGAGAGGTTTGTCGTGTAAATATCTAAATGATTTTCTAGGTTACTGATATGTTTGAATCAAGATGAATAAAAGAAAGAACTGGTTTTCATCATAACCAAGAAGAATGAAGTAATAAAATTTTATCCAAGGTGAATGAAGTGCTAAAATGATCTAAAAATTCGAGGATCTTAATTCTCATATAGCCAAGAATCAATAAATTTTGTTTCTGTAACGTTATTCATTGTGTTT